TTTTGGATTAATGTTGGCTGGAAGGGAGCGAGTAAGGCACAAATTCAAATACGAACAAATGCCGTACTCACATAAATTTGGGATGAATTGGGAAATTTTTAGTTTTGAGGGTCAAAATGAGAAAAACAAATTTTTACCCCATAACCCCCCCCCCCTCCGGAAAATCCTCATTAAAGTTCATCCCACCTTATACCTTTAAACCAAATTTCATCAAAGTTACTCAGTTTCCGCATTCACAGACGTATATATATAAAACATATATATATATATATATATACGTATATATATTAGAATATATATATGCATATATATAACACAAATGGTGTTTTTGGCCTCTGGGGACATCAAAACAAAAAAGTAAATCAGTCCCGGGCCTAGGTCTTACCGTGCCACCGTGGTAATAGCTACTTCCCTATAAGGAAATTTGCTAAAACTGGTACCTAACAACTTTAACATGGGGATGGAATGTCTCTAATTATATCAATAGTCAAAACACAATATGCCTAGATTGAACAAAATATACAAATATTGAACACATTATAGATCTAGTATGTAGGCTCTTTTTTAAGGCTTCAATAGCCATGAGCAAGTTAGTTTAGTAATAGTAGGCTATTTAATAGAAGAAGGTGGTAGGCATATGTAGCTACTTATTACCAGTGTGGAAATAAGCTCCCAGTATCAATTTAAGGCTTTTCACATAGACAAAACTGCTGTTTTCAACTGTAAAATCATCTATGTATATATATTTAATACGCGACATGAAACTTTGTGTACAATAAGGCTTTTTTATTTTAAGATTTAACCCCACATATTATACACCAAAATGTTCGTCTAGGTGTGTAGATGTGCAAACTGGCTTTAGATTTTTGAAATATATATTTTTAAGGGCGTGGGCTGCCCTCAAAGTTCCTTCCATAAGGATAACATTGTGATTGATTTGAATGTTATTATATTCTGAAACAGATGTCAATACATTAGTTTAAAAAAAAAAATAAATCCCAGCTGCTTTGTTTGGTTTTGAAATGTAAACAGTTTGCATGTTTTTAAAAATAATTAGAAACTCGGCAAAGAAATGTTTCCTATAGGACACAACAGGAGAAAAGTTTTACATTATATTTTCGTTTAAACATGCCAAAGACCCGACGACAAAGAAATATTGCCAGTCGGACACGGCAAGTCAGCATACGGCAAGCAATGCAAAACGTAAGGAGCCAAGACGTGGAGCTGGAACAGTTAGTGGCAACGTGTATTTACAAAATTACACTGACAAGAACAAGAATTTAGCAGCATTCACTTGGCGAGATGGCATTAAAATGTCAGAAATGTGGTGCGCTACATTTTAAAGAAGAACAAAGAGGACGAGGCAAAGGATTTTCATCCTGCTGCCATAAAGGAAAAGTGAATCTACCCCCATACCAAGAAATCTATTATAATAAGAGCCTACTTAATGGAGCAAATCATTTGAGCAGAAACTACAAAGAGAACATTAGATCGTACAACCAGGTACAACTCTGCGCTCGCAATGGTCAGCACTCGACCTAAAATTGAAGAACTAACGGTGGAGGGCCTTTCATGTATAAGGTGCACGACACAATTTATCATCTAATTGTCACCTTTCAACCGTCAAAAGGGGAGCATCCCACATATGCCCAAATTTAGGATACCTACGGACGTCGAAACCACTGTTCAAGAAAGAATGCTAAACAAAGCTAATGGCTTTTGCAGCACTGACTCAACTTGATATTAATCCATACGCGCAATTTTTTAGCATGATGAACTCCATCCTGCAAAATACCCCTACTGAACAGCAAAAAGAACTTGGAATGCATATAGCCAACGATCGAGCTCAAGACCAACGTCGATACAACGACGCAACTTCTAACGACGTTGCTATAATATCCTAATGTATTATTTGTGCGAATTCGCACAGGTTCACCTAGTTGGATTTAAATGAATACATACCGTTCATAAATAATTGGTAAAGAAATAGGTGGCCACGTGAAATTTTTTTACAAGGCAATTCTTAAGATTAAAACTGTGAGAATTTGCCCTTCACCCAGGTTATGTTTTTCTCTGCAGCTCTTAAAAAAAAATTTGTATTGTATATTATATTATTTCTTAATTAACAATAGTGTTATGTTCATTGATGAAAGGTAGTGAATGTTCAAAGTCGTGCTGACTATGGCTTAAAATATGAGTGTGCGTGAAGATATTCAGTTTTTTGTACACTACAGTATTTCAGAGTTTTCTACGGTAATCTATAATATTATAACTATTTATATCTTTGTTTTATAACTTTCAAAATAAAATATAAAATGAGTGATAGTGGTCAATTTATAATGTTAAGTTCAACCCAAGAGAAAGAATATTTCACATATTTTTAGATTTAATGATATTAATATTTGTGTACACCTATGAAAAAGAAAATAAACTGATTCTATATATAACCATTATTATACATTGTATTTGTACCCGGGCAGAGACGGGTTTTGCTGCTAGTATCACTTACATTGTGAGTGAAAGGGAAGAAAAGAAGTTTCAGCTTTCGCATGACATAATTGGTATCCACGGCAAAATAATACTTTAGTGTTGATACAGGCACATATTTGTTGATTTCCCGATCAACAATCTCTTTGCCTGAGTCAACAATCTTGCTCCCATAGCTCATGGCTACATTAGCCACCAGAGGATCACTAAACAGCTGAGTTGGCATCATATTGGGACCTCTGGGGCCATAGTCTTGAGGACCCATGGCTGGACCTGCAGGACCATATCCTGCGGCACCCATTGCTGGACCTCCGGGGCCATAGCCTGCAGGGCCCATTGCTACACCTCCAGGGCCGTGGCCTGCGGAGCCCATTATTGAACCTCCAGGGCCATAGTCTGAACCAGGACCAGGACCTGCAAAAAACACTTTGTAAAACAGACGTTTTCTAAAATCCTAATCTGATGTATTCAACCCATTGGCGCCGAATTACGAGCGTTACTCATACGGCCGCTGCTCCTGATGGCCAACTAATGAGTGCATCTCGTGCCACCGCTACGCAGCTCCACTAGTTATTTTATTATTATTTTCCCCTCCTTTTTGCTTCTCAATAACTCATTTATTCAGCTTGTTCAACAATATACATGCATTAGCCAAGTCAAATTTACTAAAACTATCAACTAACTTGAAAAATATACATTAAGTTAAAATTCATGAGGACTGTCCGTCAGCGAGAAATGCACGGACACTGTAGTAGAATTTACCCGTGAGAAATTACCTCAAGTGCCTTTTGAAGCATCTCGGATCTGATGTGGATTTGATTTGAAGAGGGAGAGCATTAAACAGTTTGATGGCATTGTAAGTTAGATGTCTTTCAAAGAAGGTGGTTGAATGGGCTGGAATTCTCAGATTGAAGTTATTGCGAAGCAGATATGAGTGGGTGGTTGCGGAGTGAAAATTATAATAATTTGACTTTAGGAAAGTAAAACTTCCAGAATGTAAATACAGGGAAAAGTTAGAATTGCAGATGATTTAAATACAGCTCTACAAGTATGTTTGTAGGGAAGGCAGTGAATTGTTCTGATAACAGGAAGTTTGAAGGCAGGAAAAGAAATGGGTTATGGTGCTTTCACCACCCCATCAGGACCGTATTTCCCTAACGGCGGACACGGCGGTTGCTGAGGGCCTCTGCCTAGGAGGGGGCCTTACTTGGGGCTATTTTTTCTTGATAAATTTATTTCATCATTAATCTTATTCGCCGCGATCGCGGGAGCCGTTGATGAAATCTGAGTGACCGCAAAAGATCTTTGCTATTTCCCCGTCAGCGTAGGAGTTGTCACTATTCATCCATCATCGCGGAAGAAGTCTAAGATTGTATCGCAACCGCGGGAGACGATGATGATGTCCACACGGCAACGGGAAATGAACTTGATTTTGCCGTGATAGCGCACGACGACAATCATGTTTTTGAGACCCCCGGAGACAAAGATTACGTTTACACGGCCGTGGGAGATGTTCATTATTTTGCTGCTATCGAGCAAGATGACGATCACGTTTTCGTAACCGCAGGAGACCATGATGATGTTCCGGTCGCCAATAGGGTATAAGTAGGGATGCCATTCAAGATTCTTGTCATTCGTCTATTGGGTCTGATGATGATTGGAGTGTCCAATCAAAATCGATCACCACTTACCATCTTTTTTGTATATTTACCGTCTTGTGAATAACAGTATAAGCGCAAATATATGTTTTAAGTGTTATAAGACGTCTCTTTTATTTACTTTCTGTAAGAAGACTCCTTTTAAAATAAGGCAACTTTAAATCAGCAGCAAGTTTTAATATATCCAAAATACTTAATGGTTTTTCTGGAAGTCTTTCAATTATTTCCTTTGAGTAATTTTTTTTACTTTTACTACCAGATCCCGTATAAAATCTCAAATAGAGCCACTTACCACTTTTACTTTTCTTCTTGCAGGCACATTTAGGATTTTTTTCTTTTTCCCAACAGGTTTTTTCTTCCTTATTTGTTTTTTAATTTTTGAAGTCTTCCCTTTTCCCCCACCAAGTTTTGCTTTAGTTTTCATTATGTTAGTAACTGCCCAGACGGCAGCTCTCTCACCAATACTAGAGTCTGAAGCTTTTACCCTTTCCCAAGCTAATAAGCTGTCAGCCACTGATCTAATTTTACTATCCTTCAAAATTGAGTATGCTTTATCGTGGTTTTTGCATGCAGCATCCCCAATTTATTTATGCCTGGATCACCCCTTGCTTATCTCTTCCTTAAATTCGTTCCAGGTCCACAGTACTGATAGTCGGGTATGTGAAATTCTACAGGTAAAATACCTGTGTCTGTGTACAAGAAGATTATCTGTGTACATACAGGGTGAATAAAAAGTCAAGACTCCCCCATCTAATATTTTTCTAAGTTAGAACACAGTATAGTCTTTTTGTACACAGACACAGGGTATCTTACCTGTAGAACTTCACATACCCGGCTATCAGTACCATGGACCTGGAACAAATTTAAGGAAGTGATTAACAAGAGGTGATCCAGGCATAAATAATTTGGATGCTGCATGCAAAAACCATGTATAGCATAGGCCTACTCAAGATCGAACTATAGTAAAAATATACACAAATACCGTTTTGGTGGTCATGCAAACTTAGCACAAAGTTTCATTTTATGATTTTGAAAACTTTTAGTGTCCCCAAAAAATGAGGGGTTATGGGCTCAACTGGAGATTACTCTATATCTTACTAATATTATAAATCAGAAAGTTTGTGAGTTTGTGTGTATGTTTGTGTGTTGCTCAATCATAAACTACTGGACGGATTCGGCTGAAATTTTGCATGATGATAGCTCACATTCCCTATTAACATTTAGGCATATTCTTATCTCAAAAATCCTTTTGGGCTCCCAGTTTTGCCCCAGTGGCTCTGTAGTTCCCCATGTTAACCTTATGAGTATTCATATTTAAAGGGAATTATAGAATTTAGTCAGCTGTTTCAACTTTAAAAGTTGGTTCTATAATATGCAATAGCATTAAAAAGTTATAACGTTTCCCAACAGGGTGCAGCACTATTATTATTTTGTTTTTGCATATATGACAACAGCTAATCTATGTATAAAGCCAAAAGTACCCATGAACTTTTGAGAAAACTACAAGTCACACCCCCATAAAGCATATACTTAAAATGTTCGTCATGACGAGAAACCTTGCGCAAAATTATCCATTTTCTCTTAAATTGCCCTTTAAGGTCATAATTGCTTTCCAAAGGGAACTTTCCATATACTTAATGTTAAAAATACCTCAGCTGTTCTTATTTGTATGTTATTCTTTCAATTTATTACCTTATTAAAATCTGGTGTGATTATTTTGTTTGTAATGCTGCATTCTGTTTTGTTTATTTCAGCTTAACTTAACCAATCAATAGTTTTATTAATACTTATGAAGTCAAACACGGGTCGAAGCCCGGGGGTAACAGCTAGTTTGAACTAAGCAGCAACAAAAGGCTGTGATATACACAATGAGAACTGTCAAAGTAGGATTGTTTAATTACAGTTAGGTTTGAGTTTTTAATTTAATAAATAATTTGAGATATTGTGCGAATGTTTGATAATTTATTTTTTTCTATTGTTTAGGTGCAGTGGTAGAACATTATGACAATGGTAGATGAGTTATACTATACCATAAGTTACTGTAAATTTATGAACCAAATTTTATCAAACTGTATCCTCCCCCCATTGCAAACGCAAAGCTTGAGTATAACTGCAATAAGCATTTTATACTTATATGCTAACCCCGTACGAAGGACGGGTGCTCTGCTAGTACGTACAAGATATATTAACCTTTAAACATTACCAATTTAATTTTAAACAGTATGATTTAAATTGGCATTCAGTTGATTACGTTTTCTATCCCGCCCTTATGACAGTGTGTATCTGGATTCGAAGATCCGGATCCGAATTTTTCAAGATCCGGATCCGGTACCGACATTTTCTTGGATCCGCCCATCACTGTAGGTATATTACTTGACCAAACTAATCAAGTAGGCCAACTCAATGTTAATTTCTTCCTTATCCTTACATACAAACAATTTATCCTTTAGGTAAAAAAAAATATTTTAGTACCAACCGCACTCAGCCACTGATCGACACGGACTAACAAATTTGGCATGGAAGTTTAGAATCATCTGGGCATTTTTTGCCCCCGGTTTACATTTGCCCGTGAAACGGCACTAGTGCGAAAGCTGACAATAATATGTTTGTGGAAGAGGTTCCTCATTTCCTTGGGACAAAATTCCTCCTGAAGAAAATTGCTGCATGCGCCCATAACTTAGCTAGCCACCCCCTTTAAAAAAAATATAGATTTGATGTGTACCCTAATATTGAAGGTCAATGCTAAAATAATTGTTTACACTTAGTAAAACAATTCTTAAGCTAAATTTGAAATGGTTTCTGTGAATTTAACAAAACTAAAAAGTAGAATAGGCTAACAAATAATGAGTAGACAGAGAAAAAAACTAACCGAATTGATTGGGAGGGTATGCAGGCATATTGTTGTACTGTTGAGGATCATCGTAAGGGTTGTAAGCAGGTGGTGGGGAGAAGGTCTGTGTACTTTCTAATCCTGGTGTTTCTGTGGGCCGTTTTGATAGCTTACGGCCAGGAGCTACAACAAAAATAACATAGCATTAATATGTAAATTCTAAATATGACTTTTGTATATAGTAAAGACAAATACAGTTACAGTAGCATTTAAAGACACATCATCAAAAATCTATGGCCCATTTTTCTGTGCAAACTTAAAAAAATATACCTATGTCACATTTTATGATACTTGCTGTTATATATACACATTTGTATTGTGTCTTAGGTTATTGTACTCTATGTCATGAATAGCCTACACTACTTGTCCTAGCATAGACAACAGGAATAAAGTCTCTTTCATGTTAGCCTCCAATGACTGAGCATCTTATTTCAAAGCTCCCATTTCCCAATGCATTAATTATAATAGTTATGGCAAGATACATAACAGAAATGGCGACGAGGATTCTTTTAACGTTTTAAAGTAATGTGAAGTGCAGTAATTGTTTGTAAAGTGATTGAAATATGACGGGAAATGATGGAAAAGGAGGTAATGGAGGTGGATCTTCAGGTACGCAAGCCGCCGTAAGTACCTTCAGGGCACCGTACTTAGGCTCAATAGAACCTTTTAACGAAGAAGAAACATCTTGGGACAGTTATATTGAACGTTTAGAGCAATTTTTTGTAATTAATGATATTGATGCTAAGAAGAAACATTTTTTGCTTATGTTTATCGGACAAAAGTGCTATGATATGCTTAGAAACATGTGTCAACCTGATAAGCCAGATTCTAAATCGTATCCTGAACTTGTTGCCTTAATGAAAAATCATTTAAACCCTAAACCATCAATTCTCTCAGAACGCTATAAGTTTCATAAAATAACTCAAGGTAGTTCTCAAAGTATCTCTGATTTTGTCCTATGTTTAAAGCGAGCAGCAGTTGATTGTGATTTTGAAAATCGGGACATTTCCTTGCGGGACCAGTTTGTTTCAGGTTTATTAAGTGATAGTTTGAAGAAACGTTTGTTTATTGAAAAAGACCTAACTTTTAAAAGTGCTGTCCAATTTTCTTTGTCTTGGGAAACAGCTGAACAAGATGTAAAGATCGTCCATGTTCAGGAATCAACAGGCATGAATTACAGTAAATTTAATAAATATGGACAGGGAACGGGTAACAGTTGGACTAGCAGACCAAGTCAGGGAACGAGTGGAAGTGTAACCAAGAAGCAGACTAAGCAGACACAAAGTCAAAACTCTAACCTCTTCACAAAACAACAACATTGCAGGTCTAGTGCTAGTGGTAAATTTCAAAAGTTTTCAAGTAGTAATGTGAAATGTACTTGCTGTGGTAGAACAAATCATTACAGGAGTAATTGTAGATATTTAAACTTTTCTTGTAGATTTTGTAAGCAAAAAGGACATTTGCTTGCTGTGTGTCCTAAAAAAGGTAAAGATACTTCTTATAGGCATAACAAAATTGATCAAAACCTAAACAATGATGATTCTTCTAATGATGAAGGCAATTGCAATGATGTGCTCGTAAACAGCTCCAGTGAGGTAGGTGTACTTCATGAAGATAATAGAGTATTCGACTCGAGTTTGTATGAGAAGGTGCCATAGCACCGAATCCTATAGTGCCGAATTGTGTTTTGAGTCCCAATTTGCCGAATATCACGTTCGACGGAATAAGAATTTAAAGTTCTAAATTGCCGAAAGAGATGTTTGTGTTAAACTGCCGAAATATATATTTTAAAATCCTAATCCATCGAAAAAAACAGTACAAACGTGTTAAAGTATCGAATTAAGAATCATTCCAACAGCTCCGAAAGTGAAATAAGTCCTAAACTCTCGAATCTTGTTGTTTTCGGCTATTTAAGACGATTTAAACTTACTTTCGGCTAGGGGTGTGCGATGCATCAAAAATGCATCGAAATTTCGATTCGATTCGATTCAGTGGTGGTCAAAAAACGATTCGATTCACGAGGGAGTCAGTATCCATATACGAAAAACGCCTGCAGAAAGTCAATGCAATACCCGCAATACAGGAGCGCGTTGCTGTTGCGTTTCCTTTACGAAGGCGTTCTTATTTAATACATTCTTTGCATTAAATATAGCTTTAATTGTTTTATTTTTTTTTTAGAGGTTTTGTTTTTTGTCTTGATGTAAGCAGTGTGTGAAATATTTTACTACTGTGAACCTAGCCAAAACAAGGTAGGTTACTCCAAAATCATTTTAAAAAGTCTGAAAAATTGTTACTTAATACTTAACTAGTAAGATCAATGTTATAGACTGATACATTTGGTATTTTTGTTAGGTGTCTGTCGGTCCCCGTCCCCGAATTTTTGTTGGGGCAAAAGAAAAAAAAGAATAATTTATTTCCAAAGAAACACTCTTATATTATTATATCTATTACAGAGGAATTAAAATGTTCAAATGAGAATTAAAAATTAAGTTGGCTCACGACCTTTAATAAAGACACAACAGAGCAATTGCCGCACTGCCACTAGCCAGAGCCAGGTCTAGTCGTCTACTGATAAGAGTAACAAGACAAAAGCCGTGACGCAACACTAACAGTGCAAAGAAAACAAAGTCAAAAGAATAGAAAGACTATTTATCCAGACATACTAGTATAATCATTTATTGTTCATTCAATACCTAATTAAAAATATATTTTAGTATTTTACATAATAAATTATAAACAAAAGAAATATCTGATATAGTGAACAGATCTGTATTTTGGTTAAATAGGGTTAAAAAAATATATTTCTAAGATCCAATACAATATTTACAACTCACAAATTACATTGAATTAATTTCTTTGAAAATAATCTCTAACAGTTTTGTGTTTTTGAATAAAGAAATATATTTCTTTGTCTCTACTTCCTTGTTTCATCACTTGCATTTTGTCAGCAATTGAAGCAACTGGGTAGCAACCGGGTGGTGTAAGAGGGGAGGGGGAGGGTCTATGACCTTGAATTCACACATCGTTGCCCGGGCCTGGCTGGTGAGACTGATTCATTGTTTTTGTTGACATACTACTACCCTTCCTTAAGAGAAAAAGGCCCTGCTGTTCCAAAAACATTGAGGGTAGTTTAAAAACATTGACCTGTGTTGCCAAGGGCACTAGAAGATAGCATTTAACTTTCTTGTCTCTTGATTTAATATTATTTTAATCTTCTATATATTATTTAAGAGTTACTTTTCGGGTACCTAATTAGTTGTGATATTGTTTAGCTTCATTTTATGGATTTTTAATTCTTTTCATTCATTAGCTATCAAAATCAGTTGTTTTAGGATTTTAATCTCTTGCAGTACCTGTAGGTCTATACTACTGTATGACATGATATGCATTTTTTAGTCCTTATTAATTATACCATAAACAATGTTTGTATGTTATTTACTGTTTTTGAGTTTTATAGGAAATTAGTTTACACAATATCTTTTCTTCAATGAGTTCTCCACTTGACATGTTGCTTCTAGCCTATTACTATTTTATTTTTAGGCCCTATAAAAATAATGCCTATGTAAAGCTGTAGGCCTACTGATGCCAATAATAATTCTTTATTTATGATGATGTAACAAATAATGTAAGTGTGAGGTTATTATACTAAGGAGGTTAGGAGGCAGGGAATGAATGATACATGTTGCATGGTGGAAACATATTATTTTTATTTTCTTCTTGCTTGCAGTCCTGAAGCCGGTCCACAGGCCCTAAACTTGTGATATGTAAATTTATTTCTTAATGGTCTTTTTATATTAAGTTCCATTCAAATTTGTTGTAATTTAGCTACCGGTACCTATTTAGTTATTTAAACAGTTATTAAAATGGGAATGAATGTCTTGATAAAAAAAATATTTTCTTCTCTCTTGCAGTTGAGCCAATTCCAAGTAAAAATTATGAAATAGGCAAGTAAAGCAGCTCACTGGTATTTCCAGCAGTTATTCTAATACATATGATTGAAAATAAATATTTTTTCACCTAAAATTCATATGTAAGTATGAATAGGCCTAATACCACATCAACAAAAATTTGTATTACACAAATGTGATAAATTTTAATTATTGTTAATCCACTCAATTGACAATTATGAATAGAAAAATACCGTATTGCTTCGAATCGAGTTGCATCGAATCGAATCGAAAATCTTTTGAATCGAATCGTTGCTTCGAATCGAAAATTTTTTGCTGCTTCGCACACCCCTACCATTTTGGATACCACGATGAATTTGAATACCTTAAAACCAAATAATTTTGTTTATTGAAGTGTTTCTGTACGGATATTGGTTACCTACTGGGAAAATTCAAAAATTTTATATTTATCATTCACATTTTATTCTTATGGAGAATAAGTAAACTGTTGTAGTTTACTCGTTTATGGATATATTTTGATAAAACTTGGCAAATTTATTTATTTTGACCTAAGCTATAATCTTTTAATAAAAAAAAAAACATACATTATTATCCTCTCCGTAGCAGCAAACCTAGGTACTAATTAAACTTAATGTTATTGAAATAAATTTAATTGAAAATCAAATCAGGCAAATGGAAACTCTCTTAATCTGCAGGTTTGCTGCGGTGGGTTTTTTTTTGCCTATTCCATGAAATGCAGATATGGCATCACAACCTGTGATTGCAAGGAAAATGAAAGATCGCTGCAGATTTCTGGAAAGAGTTGAAAAAACAGAACATTAAACAATTTTTAATTATTTTAAATATTAACGGCCGCCATTTTGAAATGACCTAACGAAACTCGACCATTGACAAACTGGGATTAGATATAGTATTCAAGCACTTGTATGCCAAATTTCATTAAAATTGGTTCAGGTATTTTGGTATAATAACCAATTCATAGCGACCCAGCATCCTCTTACGAGCGCCATATTGATGACGTCATTACGGGCGACCAAGGTCCTTAAAAATTCGGGTCTGGGCGGTTTTACATACTTGGTTTTATAAATTATCTTCACCCTAAGTTGCAGGATCATCGCCAGAACTGAAATATGTTTCTGCTACCCATCCCCACTACTAAGCTGTCAGTGTTAAGTCAAAACGATGATGGAGAAGAACGAGTTAGAGACTCTGACGATTCCATGGAAGGTGATGATGCATCAGTAGCTGATGAACAATATGACACGTGGTGGTTAAAGAGTCGTAACTACCAGTTTCTTGGTTAATTTTCCTCACAACTTTAACATGTGACACAGACTCATTATCAATTTTGTAATAGGTGATTGATATTAATTAACCGGATTATTTTACCTTAATTAATTTGTCATATTTAGTTTTTCATTAATAAATTAGTGTTTTTCTGATAAACTGTCGGTTTTATTGCTTGTATTATGTTCTTTTTCGATTCTGCATCCTAAGAAACATAGAAAACGACACCCCACTTGCTTGGATCCCATAAATAAAAAATTTTTCAAAATCACTACCCCCATAAACTTAAAACCCCATAAAATGGTACTTCCACCCCCACAATCACTAGGGACTCTTTAGATTCCAATACCTAATGGTAATTACTACGTTTTCTGCAAGTTTCATGAATGGACTAATTTTTATGTTTTCTTAGGTGAGTTTTACCTGTACTATATGTACTTTTTTATTAGACGACCTTCATATACGGAGATGAATAACGACGCCTTGTACGGCCTGAAGATGATTCCCTGTGAATCAAAACTATAGTTGTCACAAGCAACTTTTTGTATTACTGAATGCAGGTTTTTTAACCATTTCAATTATTTTGAAGAGTATTAAAGTCATTGTAATGGTACCTGCAAAAAATTTAGATTTTCAAATCAGTCCAGATACTTATTGAATTGAACCTATAAGTTGGAAAATACCACTATATCTATATCTAAGTGGCGCTTCTTTGAAGCTATGGATGCGCCAAAGGTATTTTAGTAATCTGTCTGTTACACAAGATGTGGATAAGGTTTTGACGCTGATGATGGTGTTTTATCTCCAAAATATATTCTATGCAAAGATATTGTTTTGACCTGTCTGACAGAAATAGCGTAATTTAGTATTACATGAGCAATAATAATTGTATTATACTAGTTAATAATTATAAAAGTTATAAATAGTGTTACGGGTGTTACAATGATGGCGGTGCTTTTGGTATGTGTTTGTAAACAGAGCTCACTAAGGTGCTTACTCTTTCACCTATAGCATTAAAGGGAGATGTATTCCATTTTTGGAATACATTTATTTATTAGATAATGAATTGCTTTATGAATTTACTTCGGAACCGTCTCCAAATGTGCCCTGTAATACAGATATGACTAGGCAAAATCGATTTACTGGCTAGTAAATAAAAGTTTACATAACTTATTTGAAAAATTTTAGTTCAAAATACCGTACCTACTTTATTGTATTTGTATAACTCTGCTAACACAAAAAATGCTAATCAAGAAGCTATTTATTGCAACGAATAATCTATGTAATATAGATAGGTACTTTGAAATAGGTTTGAGAAATCCATAACATCTCAAATTTCCGAATGGAATATGTTTTGATCAGTTTTGTTCTGTTGACAGAGTTCACCTTACACTTCCATAACCTCCGTAGCTGAGAAGTCTGAGTCCCCCTCCCCCGGGTATGTCAGTAGCTCCCCGGGACAGTGAACAGGACAGGAACGTTCGTAAAACAAAAGTAAGTAGATGAATACACGGGCCAGCAAAGTACAGTTAATCGTGTCTTAATTATCCAATCTTCAGCTTTGTGTATTCCAAGTTTACTGACACTCCCTGTAGGAGATGCAGTGCCACATTTGTAATTCTCGTAACCGTAAGACTGTACACCACAGCGGAAAGTCTTGACAATTGTACCCCTTTCCACCTCTAATTGTATTTGGAAGAATTTAACAGCTCTGTTTTCTAATTGTTTGGTGTGCTACATACCGCAACGTTTATCTACTC